CAGTTACACCAGTCTGGTTCTTTTAATTATTGTATAGTATATAGATAAATCTTGAACAAAAACCAAAAAAAAAATTCTTAAATAAACCTTGACTAGACACATACTTTGTTTTTTAAGTTAGTCTTTGTAAGACTCAATTAAGGTTTGACTGAGGTTTGACCTTAGAAAATTTAAGATTACTTTAGTAGAGGAAGAGTGGGTCTAAATCAGGAAAAAGAAAGATTTAACATCATAGGTTAAGTAGGCAAAGTCTAGGAAAGGAACTTAAAATACTCTGATTTATAGTTTTAGAAGGAAAAAAGTGGGGGATTACATCACATACTTATAGGCAGGAAATAGGCTGATCAGTATTTAGACCACACTCACTAAAACTATTTTCTTTTGAACAGTACCCATCTGCTACCAGGAGGTAAAACTTACCTCCTCTTTAGTTATCTTGTCATGGGCAAAGGAAAACATCAAAAGTAAAATTTGTATAACACAGAGAAGGAATGTAAAGGACTTCATCCAGTAGTTGCAGGTAACACCAATATTTGTCTGCATTTATTTAAGACTGTAACGGGGTGTGCAGCACAAGCCAGAAGAGTAGACTGAAATTTTTGGCTGTAACAGTAATTATCATAACAATAACCATCTATTTCTACAAACCTGTTTAGACTTGTTTAAATGTCTTCATTCTGGAAATATTCAGTCATCTTAATCTTTATATATAAGTTTTTTATTAAAATATTTTTATCCTATATTTTTAATTAATTTTTAACCCTTTATTTTTTCATTGATACACTGAGGCATAACAACATTTACAAACAAATCCATCATTTCTTGTGAGAATCCATTAAGCAGTTAATATTTATTTTTTATATGTACAGATAGATAAACAATCATCTCAAACACACTAGCACAATGTATAAACTCTGAGATGTCCTCTGTACATTCCAAAATAGGTTTCAAACAATTTTTTAAATGTTTAGAGGTGTTGTTTCTAATAACTAATGGAAACAAAATTTGGGAATGTTAGACAGGACCATGCACTTTTGTAAAGTTCCTCCAATAACTTGTTTTTCTAGTTTTTTGTTCTTTCCACCCTCATAGATGATTTTGCATACAGACCCCAGGCTAACAAACTCCCTCTCTGCCTTTCTCTCTCTCTCTCTCTCTCTCTCTCTCTCTCTCTCTCTCTTCCCCCCCCCCCTTTACCATTCCCACTTCTGGCATTCAGTGGACTATCCCTCAGGCCTACTTTGGATAAACAGTGTCTTTTCTAAAAGTGGCCAGGAGCTTTAGCTCTTGCTGCCTTGTAGCACCATAATTGAGGCAGGATCTTATACCAAGGTCCTTATTGACTGGTCTAGGAAACCTGCTGCCAAACCCTTCTCCTGATTTGCCCCTATAATTGATCTTGCCCCTCTGACTTTCTGTTGGACTATCCCTCAGGCCTACTTTGGATAAACAGTGTCTTTTCTAAAAGTGGCCAGGAGCTTTAGCTCTTGCTGCCTTGTAGCACCATAATTGAGGCAGGATCTTATACCAAGGTCCTTATTGACTGGTCTAGGAAACCTGCTGCCAAACCCTTCTCCTGATTTGCCCCTATAATTGATCTTGCCCCTCTGACTTTCTGTTATTCTGACCTCTAGAACAAGGGCCATCACCACCATGCCAGTCTATTACATCCAACACTGGCTGTCCTTGGATCAACTGCAGAGTAAGCACACCCTGTCCACCTAGGTGGTACCCCTAGGAGGGACATTTTCTACATTTCATACCTTGGATCTAGGAGATCCCTCAGAGCCTCACTTTGAGGGACACCCCAATGGATGGCCTGAGAGCTCAGCCTGAATTTGGCTTCCGTGGCCTGGACTTTGTCTTGGAGAATGTCTTGGAATCTTGCCTAGGCATCCCTGCCCTGAAGCATAGGTTCACAAATTTCCAAGGTTCCTGGTGACATTCCCTCGGCTTGTCTCTTAATCTCTCAGCCTTAGGACTCCAGTCTGATTTAAAATGGAAAAATCTTTATTGCCTGATACCTTTGTCTGGTCACAATACAAATTAAATAATGATAACCAGTGGGCTGAATTTGGCACATTTGGCTCAAAAGTTCTATGAGATCTTGGTATTTCTTCAAAAGGAATGGCAAATGGTCTGCGGTTCCCTGTAAAGGACTGGTAAATGGTCTGAGGACTCCTATAAAGGAAAGGCCAATGATCTGAGGTCCTCTACGTCTAAGCTTTTATTCTCCTCTGCTCTCATATCTCACTTTGTAAAGACTGCTCCTTCTTCTGGATTCTCCCGGAGGACTCTATCCTGACAAGAACCCCCAAACCTCCCCTTGACTTGACCAAGTCTTACCTCAATATTCCCAACTGACTCTGACCCTGATTCCACCAATTAAGCCCACTATCAACCCACCCCTCACAATTTCATCCCAGTCCCTCCTAACTCTCTTCTTTCCCCTGCTCCCTCCCTTCCTCATCACCCCATCTACCCTCCATTACCTGACTCTAAGCTACCTGTGTATTGTGTATCGAACCATAGTATCCCTGGTTCCTGTCTCTTCTAATCCTCCAGTCCATGACGGTCCTCTCTGTCTTGCTCCCCACTTCCTCTCCATCCTGTCCACCCTTCATTGCTTGACTCCAAACCACCCACACCTGTTGCACCCTCCTCTTTGGGCCCACTCTCTTCTCCTCATCCCTTGTCCACCCCCCCATATACTCATTCTTGAGGTATGAGACTACCCAAACCACAATTCCCATGTTTCCCCTCCAGATGCCAGAAGTGGTAGGTTCAGTTAGAATTCATGTCCCCTTTGCTCTGGTCGAGATGTACCAAATAGAAGATAAGCTTGGCAGTTTTTCATAAAATCCCACCAAATATAGAAAGGGATTTCTCTGACTCACCCATGCTTATAACCTTACCTGGAATGGCCTTTACTATAGCCTTAAGTCTCACCTCAGACACAAAGTCCCACATTTGGCAATCAGTTGATCACCTCCACAGGCAAGATAACTTTAACTTCCTGACTGTAGGCAAAGCCTTTCCCACACCTGAGCCTAATTGGTGATACCAAATTTGTGATGCAGGTATCCAGATAAGGAACCACATGATTATCTGTCCCCTGGCAGGAACGCAAAGGAACTCCCATAGTCAGGTCAATTATGATAAAATTATGATAAACCAATGGGCAGATGAAAATTCATCTCTTTTCATAACCCACCTCACATAGGTTGTTACTAAATTTACTAGGCTAAATCCCAATATCCTGGAAGTACAATTGTTCCTTCACATTCAGTTCATTAGTCAGTCAGCCACTGACAACTGGACAAAACACAAAAAAGAATTTGGCCACCAAACACTACAACAAGGACTCTTAAAACTGGCCTTCAAGGTTTTTAATAATCAAAAGGAGGAGGCAAACAAGGAAAAGGAGAAAGCCCTCAGAGTTAATGCTAAATGCTAGCTGCTGCTCTGCTACCTCAGGTGAGCTGAGACAAAAACCAATCTGAAAAGATCAGCAAACCCATCTTGTTCCCACTTCCATTGCAATGGGGATTGGCACTGGTCGTGAACTAACCCTCAGCCAAGGCATGCCGCTCTTGTGGTCAATGGGGACACTGGAATTGGGACTACCCTGAAGGGAGATGCCCTCCCTCCCTCAGTTCAGTCCTATTTCCCCCCACAAGAGGGTTTCCCCCTCACACTTACTGGAATGAGGAGATCTGGGTTCTTCATCTCCCATCCAAAAGGGCAAGTCATTGGAACAAGGATTATTGGAATAGCATCTGGCCATCCTATTTCTTTTATGGTTGACACTGGGGCTAGCCACTCTTTCCTAACTGAATTTGCCAGCTCTCTTCTCCAAACCTTGACTGCCACGATTGGGGCCAGATGCACCCCCAAACCAAATCCCCCAGTTCTCTGCACTTTCAGCTCTATTACTATAGTCCATACATTTTTTTCCTTCCTGCCTTACTCCTGATTTAGGACATGAGCTCCTACATAGACTAGGGGTGACTCCCTTCATTCCGTATATCTAATATCGGACTATGTTTCACCTCTTGGACCTTCCCATCCCTAAATCTTCCACCCTTGTGCTCCGTAGCCTGCTCAATCACCCTGATATTAACCTCCTAGTATGGGATACAGACCACCCAGCTATCCCAACTCATCATTCCTCTGTCCATATCCCTTAAAGCCCCCCTTGATGTCATTGTATTCCCCCAACACCCTCTCAGTCCTATGGGACTTTATGGCCTCAAACTCATCATACAATGACTACTTCAATCCCATCTACTCATTCTCATTCCTACCCACACTCTTCATCTTACCTCCATTCTTATTCTTCCTGTAAATGAATCAAATGACCGCTTTTGTTTGGTTCAAGAAAAGACCTGCAAAAAATTAATGTGGCCACTAGATCCACCTAACCTGTCTTCTCTAACCTTTACTCACTCTTTTTATCTATTCCCCATAATACCACTGCAGTAATCAGTTTTCAGGATGCCTTATTCACTAATCCTTTCCACCCAGACTCACAACCTCTTTGCTTTAACCCGAACTGATCCCAACTCCTGCCTCTCCCAACAGTTCACATTGATAACCCTCCTCAACATATTATTAAATGCTTTATTTACCCTAAATTTTTAAAATCCCAATGCTGAGAGTTTTACAGCTGCAAAAATGTATTAGCCCTGTATAAAAGAAACAGAATCTCTACAGCCTATATGGTATAAGGATATTACATCAAAAAATTGGCATAGAGCATATGTATTAAAATGCGGAAAAAGTTATGCTTATATTTCCACAGGCCCTGATCAATTTTGGATTCCAGATCATCTCATAAAGTTTCAAGATGAACAATCACCCACACTTCGATCCTCACTTGGCCACTGAATAAATGGCTCATCTTACTTTGGACCCAACTACATGGAGGGTGGCCAGACCATTGCCCTCTACTAATTTTTGTGCCCTTCCCACATGGGGTCAACTGAAGAAATTAGGCAAGGAAGGTGATCACATGGTTCAACATCTGGGACAAAATCGTAATCCTCAAACTTTATTTTTAGCTATGCTTGCAATAACTACTGTACAGGTGACTACTGCTACTAATTTTTCTTATTGGGCTTACATTCCAAATCCACCTCTAAGTTGGGCTGTTCACTGGGGAGATCCTATTATCCCAATTTACACTAATGATTCTAATTGGGTGCCTGGTCCTTATGATAATCAGGGTCCCTCATTTCCACAGTAGGAGGGACAGATACTTAATACATCTTATATAGTAGGATTCCAGGATGCTCCCATTTGTATAGGTGCTGAATAGCACTGTTTGAAGGGATCATATTGTGCTTGGCTATCTATTCTAAGAAATGGCCCAGAAGGAGATAGTAAAAAGGCTATGTATATATTAGTGGGGAAAGGATTCAAAGGTAATAGTACTAATCACACTTTCTCTCCACCTCCCATACCTCCTTGTCAGACACCAGTCGTCTCAGAGTTAAGTGCTTGGATACATTGGGAACAATGCAGAGGCCCAGAAGTCCGAGTTCTTGCTAATACTCCTGTGGAAGTGTGATTGATTGGAGACCTGTGGGTTTGGCTCTGACAAAAAGGTAAGGTAAAGAGTTAAGATGGCATAAAGAAAATAACTCTTTAATATGTACTGAAAGTAATACCACGGAAGGGTTGGTTTGGCATGGTGGGGGGATGTCTCCACCCTCTCCTCATATCGAGGGAGGTGCTACTTAAGAACATGTTTGGACATTAATCACTGCTTCTATACAATTATGGGCTTGGAGAGGGGAAATTTGGAAAAATAAGTCTAATAATAATACTGAATTGTCATTTGTTAAGAATGTTTCTCATAATATTATGACTTGTGTTCCATTACCTTATGTACTAATGATTGGATCAAGTAAATGGAATCAGACAGAAGGATCTGTTACTTGTGAAAATTGTGTTCTGTATACCTGCAATGAATTCCACTGTTCCAATTAATTATACTACACAGACTTTATACATACTCCATGCTCGTGTGGGAGTATGGATGCCTGTGCAGCTTGATTGACCTTGGGAAGAATCACCCTCAATGTCTATGCTTTATCATATTCTTGAAAATGTAAAATGCAAAAGAATGATTGGCCTTACTATTGTGGCTATCCTGGGGATTATCGCTATTACTGCTACTGCTGCAGCAGCTGGAGTTGCCTTACATCAAAGTATTCAGACTGTACAATTTGTGCAACAATGGCACTTGGACTCTGAAACATTATGGAATTCTCAAAGACATATTGATAGTGTTTTCAATGCTGAAATTACAGACTTGGAATCTGCTGTAGTTATGTTAAGAGATCAAATTGTTAGTCTACAAAGACAGCTATCACTGAGATGTGATTGGAATGTATCTCAATTTTGTGTTACACCTGCACATTGGAATTCAATGACATTCCCTTGGGACTGGGTTAAAAAACATTTGTTAAATCATGGAAATCATGGTAATATGATACTGGAGGTATTGAAATTACAGGCAGATATTACTCATACATTTTCTAGTCAGCTAAAAGATGTTTCTGGTCAAAATCTGTTGGAAGGAATTGCAGATGGCTTAGGGAAACTAAATCCATTTAATCAACTTAAGAATTCTAGCACAGTGTATTCCATTTTGTTTTTATTAATAATTGTTATGTTTCTTCTATTGCTTCTAATTTGGCAGAGGTTCTCCTGAAACCAATTGATTTCTCAGCATCGTGCTGCCATGGTCAGTCTTATGCTGCAGAACAAAAAGGGGGAGATGGTGGAGCAGAAGGTGAATCAAAGACAAGATAGAGTCCAGCTGTCTTTTGAAAACAAGAGAATGTCTGGACACTGGTGGAACACCGCCTCCCAGTCAAGGGCAGAACACTGCCTTGGGACAGTAAGAATGATAGTGGATGGGCTTGTGTTTCCTTTCTCATGGACTAGAGCTCTGGGAAAAGGTTTGGTTAGTAACAGAAAAGACAAACACCCTTGCCAGGCATGGTGGCGCACTCCTTTGATCCCAGCACTTCGGAGGCAGAGGCAGGCAGATCTTTGTGAGTTCAAGGCCAGCCTGGTCTACATAGCGAGTTCCAGGACAGCTGGGGCTACAAGGAGACCCTGTCTCAAAAAGACAAAATAAAATAAACTTTTTTTTAAAAAAAGAAGGAAAACCATCTTTTACTTTGAACTTTGCTTGATTTATGTTTTGTACACTGTGTCCTTGGCTGACCCTGATCATTAGGTATAAAGAGCCACTCTTAGTATTAAACTTCCCTTTCTCCACCTGAGAGTTTGATTCTTTGCCTTCAATCATTCTGTCATCCACTAGCAGACCTGAGTCTCTATATAACATGAACTGTTCTCTGGTGGTTTTGGAATAGCCCTCACTTTTTCAGCCAGGTGATTCCTTTCCCTACAAGCCAGTATGTAGATGACCTCTTAGTCTTCAGCTCCTCCACCTCCATCTGCATCTGTGATACTATCACACTTCTAAATTCTCTTGTTTTTGGACATACCATGTGTCCAAAGATAAAGCACAGTTAGTCTCCCCTATGGACACCTACCCCACCAATGTGTAACTCAGATTCCAACGTTCCCCAACCCCATTGCCAAGTGAGACTTACTTTCATTTCTGGGGTTTATGAATTATTTTCACATCTGGATTCCCAACTTTCCCTCAAAGCCCAGATCCACTATGAGGCAGCCAAGGGCCCCCTAGATGAGTCCCTACCCCTCAAAAGGGCTTCCTTTCTCATTCTCTGTCTTAAAACCTGCTTTAAGCCAAACCACTATTCTGCATGTTGCAGCATAGTGATCCTTCTAAGCCCTTCACCTATATTCAGATATATTCACAGAAGGGTCAGTCCCTGGAATTTCTGTGCCAGGCAGTGGGAGATACCCTACAGCCTTTAGCTTACTTGCTTACCTGTCTAGACTGCTCAATTCAGTCTATTACAGGAGGTCCCTTTGCCTCCTTGATGCTGCCAACTTCCTCATTTTGGATGCCAATAAAATTAGTTTGAAGCAACCGCTTCAGGTTTAGATAACCCGCAACCTAACTGACCTCCTGAGCTACCAAGCTTTCCTTTCTCTCTCCCACTTGTGCATGACATATCCATTCCCAGCTCCTCAATCCCTACACCTTCCATTGCTGTCTGGACCTGAACCCAACCATCTTGTTCCCCCTAGAGTCTCATTGCACTGACAATTCCTTATCACACTCTTGTACAGATTTCCTTAAAGTGATCTTTAACTCCTTCCAGCACATACTTGACAACCACATTCCCAGGGCTGCCAACTGGTTTGTAGATGGTAGCTCCTACAAGGAGGAGGCCTTTAAAGCTGGAGATGTTAAAATTGAAGGATACCAGGGACAGGACCTCCCCCATGAAAATAATTGCGACTAGTCCCCTACCTCCCAATACCATGTCTCAACAGGCAGAACTGATTGTCCTCACCCACACTTTAATGTTGGCAAAGGGGGAGTGAAATAAACATTTTTCCTGACTCTAAATATGCTTATATCATCTTGTACACTAATGCAGTTATCTGGCAGTAAAGAGGTTTCTTAACCCAGAAAGGAACCCATATTAATTGGATAGTCATCCAGAACATGCTTGATGTGCCCATATTACCCCAAATGGCTATAGAACTCCATTGATGAGGAAATCAAGAGGATGGACAATGTATCTCTTTGGACAACAATGCCATGGACAGCCTGGCAAAATCAACAGCACTAGGAGAAACAGCCACTTTCCACATCCTTATTGCTCAACCAGCTCTCTCCTCCCAACTTACCTCCTTTCTTCATTCCCAAAAAGGACAGGAATTCATGAAGCAGAAATGGGGTCTGCTACAGGAGTAATGGTGATTCACCAATAACCACTTCCTCCTTCCCAGGTCCTGCTGCTTTCAGACCCTCTGAAATCTCTATGCTCTTTTCCATACTAACATATCCCCCTCCCTCACCCAATTGTTGCAGACCCATCTTTTCTCCTCCCAGAAGATCACCACCTGCTAAAAAAAAGAAACAACAACAAAACCCAAACAACAACAACAACAACAAAAACGCTACAGTCAATTGTATCACCTGTCAAGGAACCAACCCTAATACCAACTTAAGCCCCCATTCCCTTTTCCCACTCACTAGGCCAGAGGTGCCCTATTGGGTGCTGACTGGACTTCATTCACATGCCCACTCTCACAAACCTCGAACACTTCCTTGTGCTGGGAGACACCTTTTCAGGTCAGGCTGGGTGGAGGCTTTCCCCACATCCAACAAATGAACCTCCACATTCTCCTCCATACTCATTACAGAAATTATTACCAGACTCAGCTTGCCCTCATCCTTGCAGTCTCACAATGAGCCCAAATTCACCTCACACGTAACCCAATCTACAGTCACCTCTCTAAACAGAAAGTGGAATTCCCATATTCCTTGCTCTGATATTTCACCATATTTTCTCCTCCCCCTTCTTGGGAGACCTGCACCAGCACCCTCTGAGGCCCCAGGGCTCACAAACCGACAGAATACCTTTTATTTGGGTTTTGCATAGTTTATGTGACATTTGGGGCATAGGCTTTTCTTTCCCATGTTTGAGGTGTACACCACCTGCCTCCTGCCTGCAGTCAGCATCAGCCTTTCACAGGCAGCCGCTCACCGCCTGGTTTGCCCCAGTTCGCTGCTCTGTCTCACCCCTCAGGGTTGGCAAAGGGCCATCTTGTCCCACTCGGGGTCTGTGCTGGATAGCTTTAGTGTCAACTTGACACACCTGGGTTGAGGGAGCCTCAACTGGGGAATTGCCTCTATTGGACTGGCCTGTGGCCATGTCTGTGGGGAATCTTTTTGATGACTGATGTGGCAGAGCCCTGCCCACTGTGGGTGGTGTCACCCCTGAGCAGGTGGGCCTGTGTTGCAAAAGAAAGCAGGCTGAGCAGGGGCCAGGGAACAAGTCACTAAGCAGTGATCTCCATGGCCTGTGCTCCAGCTCCTGACTCTTGCCCTGAGTTCCTACCTTGGGCTCCCTGATGAACTGTGACCTGGTAGATGTAAGACAAATAAACCCTTTCCTCCCCAAGTTGGTAGTTGTCAGAGTACTTTTGTCACATCAATGAAGAAACAAACTAGGACAGGGTCTGAGTGGCATCATCTCACTCTGCTCACCATTTCCCCTCTTGCCATTCCCTGCTCAATATGGCAGTGGCTCCACATCACCCATGCTCACCCTGGATCAACTCCAGTTTTTTGGAGAAAGATCGGGGTTACACTCCACCCCTTCCTTCAGCTCTCACAAACTTTCTGCCACCTCTTCCACAAGGGTCCCTGAGCCTTGGAGGGGGTGACAGATTCTGTCAAGTTGGCAACTAATACAATCCACTGCAGTGTGTGTGTGTGTGTGTGTGTGTGTGTGTGTGCGTGTGTGTTCCTGTCAGTGTATCGTGGAGTGCAGGTGGATGTTAGAGGACAACTTGCAGCATGCAGGGATCATTTCTTGCCTTCTATCATTTTGTCAAAGCAGGATTTCCTTGTTGTTTCTGTCATGGTGCTGCATATTCTAGGCTTGCTGTCCTGTAAGCTTCTGGCTAAATCTCCTGTCTCTACCTTCCATCTCAGTATAGGAGTATGGGGATTATAGATGTGTGCCACTGCTTCCAACATTTTACATGGCTTTGCGGGGATCAAACACAGGATGTCAGGTTTGTGCTACCTCCTAAGTCTTCATGGCCCAGTCTTGAGATCTTAAAGTAGGTGTTATGAGCTATCTGGTTTTATGAAAACTAGATTAGGTGTACCCATGAGAGTCATCTTCCATCCTTCTCTTCCTCTCCTCTTCCTTCATTCCCTTCTTTCCTTCATTCTTTTTATTTCCCTCCCTCTCCTTCTCTCTCTCTCTCTCTTTTTCTCTTTTTTTTTTTTTTTTTTTTTTTTTTTTTTTTTTTTTAATTCCTTCTTTCCTTCCTTCTTTCCTTACTGGGGCTGGCTTTGAACTCACAAAGATCCGCCTGCCTCTGCCTCCTGAGTGCTGGGATTAAAGGTGTGCGCCACCACGCCTGGCTTCCCTCTCTCTTTTTGAGACAGGTATCATGTAGCCTTCTTGAAGTTGCTACATTGTCAAGGATGATCTGAATTTCTGATGCTCTGGCCTCTTCTAAGTCCTGGGATTAGAGGAATGTGCCACCAAGCATAATTTGAGAATTTATTTTCAGACAAATGCAAACATCATACAACCAGGAAAGGGTAATCTTTAATAAAAGATGCTGAAACAATTGAAGGTTCATATTTTAGTCAACAAATATCTTACTCACACAAATATTGATTAAAATTATCCTATATTTGAAGGTTAAAAAAAACTTACATGTAATCTATGAGGTAAAACAAAACAAACCTTTTGTATTTTTAGAAATAGCTCTGAAGGCATAATTTTAATGACAGTTGATATAGTTGCACTTTTACAGGTGCATGAGCAGCACTGAAACCACTTTACACATAGAGTAAAATAAGTAAGTAAATATTAGGGCCAGGGTTTTTTTTTTTTTTGTTTGTTTGTTTGTTTGTTTTTGGTCTTTTTGAGACAGGGTCTCCCTGTAGCCCGAGCTGGCCTGGAACTCACTATGTAGACCAAGCTGGCCTTGAACTCACAGAGATTCACCTGCCTCTGCCTCCTGAGTGCAGGGATTAAAGGCATGGGCCACCATGCCTGGCTAAATACTATCTTTTTTAAAAAATATTTTATTATTTTTTTATGTGTATGTGTGTATTGCTTGCATGTAGGTAAGTGCACCCATGTTGTGCAATGCCCAAGTAGGACAGAAGAGGCTGTTGGATCCCCTGGAACTGGAGTTACGGACAGTTGTTTGCTGCCATGTGGGTGCTGAGATTCAAATCTGGATTTTCTGCAAGAACAGCCAGTGTTCTTACCAATGAGCCATCTCTCCAGCCCCAATACTATCTTTTTTAAAAATAAAATCCATTTGATTATTTTCATTTCATGTGTAATGAGTGTATTGCCTGCATGTGTGTAAGTGCACCCATATCGTGCAATCCCTACGGAGGTCAGAAGAGGGTGTTGGAGCCCTGGAAATGGAGTCAGGGATTGTTGTTAGCCGCCATGTGGATGTTGGGAATCGAACCCAAGTCCTCTGCAAGAGCAGTCATTGCTCTCATCTGGTGAATCATTTCTTGAGTCCTGCAAATACTATCTTAAGACAAAAATTAAAGATGGTACTATGGATTCATGTTTACATAATTAAACAGACAGCATATTTTCTAGCTTAGAAGGTCAGGAAATACTGATAAGCCCCTCACCCCCAACCCAGTTAAAGGACACTCAATATTCACATGTTAGTTTCTAAATTCATTTTTCAATGGAAAGTACCTAGGCTTCTTATAGAAATGGCTAAAGCTAAACTTAGCAAAAGCAAAATACAAAATAAGCCTAGTATCTTATAATACCAGGCAGCATTTGGAAGATGGAGGCAGGAGGATCAGGATCGTACTCAAGGACAGCATGAACTACAAGAAACCCTGTCTCAAAAACAGTGGGAGACTGTATATAATAAATTGACAATTATTCAGAAGTCTACAGTGATCTGAATAATTGTACTATGTAAACAAAAGGAAAGAAATAAATTTCCTTAAAGAAAATGTTTAAAAAGCTATGTGCAGATCTCCCACCCAAGAGTAAAGTTTAATTCTGCTTCATTGAAATGTGAGCTAAACTTAATAACACACTTCTAAAACACACAGTATAGCACCTGGCAACCTGAACCAGGTGACCAGGATTGTGTGACAATATCAGTAGAGAAATCATGTTAAGCCAGGTGTGGTGGTGCATACTTGTAATTCCAGCACTTAGGGGGCAGAGGCAGGAGGATTGCTGTGAGTCTGAGGACAGCCTGTCCTACACAGTGAGTTCCATGCCAGCCAGGGGTATGTAGCGATGCTCTGTCTAAACAAACAAACAAACAGCACAATGTTAAACTCATACATATACAGATAAAATGTTATGAAAAATGCACTCGATCTGATTAGACTGATACTATGAACTAGGGGGATTAATAGCACATAGTTGAAGAAGAGGAGGAAAGATGGTAAGAGTCAGAGGCAGTGGATGACTACAACGAAATTGTCTTCTGGACACAACAGAGAAGTTCCACATATGAACTCACAGAAATTTGACCGTATGCACAAGACCTGTGCAAGCTCAAGCCATACAAACTCCCAACAATGGAGGGGGGAAATGGGCATAAGGCCCCACTCGTAGCTGAGGAGCTATTGTGAATTGATACCTGCTGTGAAAGGGTGAGTCTGTTTTTAAGGGTGTGACCACTGGTAGATTGACCAATCCCAAAGGGATGCACCCATACCAAAGAGCATTTGGGCAACACAAATTGGACACCATGAGTTTTAAAAAGTATAAAAGGTTGGGTGGGCAGGGAGGTAGGGGTGGATGTGGGAGGAGATGGGAGAGAGGGAAGTGAATATTATCAAAATACATTGTATGGAACTCTCAGAGTATCAATATAAATAATTAAAAGTAAAAATATCTTGTATTTTACAGAAACATTTTGCACAGTGGTTTAAGTCAATTAGATCTGCCAAGGCCTCTCCTACTTCACAAAGATCCTCTCCCACTGAGGGACTCAGCAAAGTCACTAATGCTCCATACCAATCTTGAGGTCCCTGCTGAATCAAATTTTTCTTTAAATCGCTGGTGAACACAGTGCTTTCTGACCCAGTGAACTAGGCAGCATACATTGCTTTCCTCAAACCTAGTTCTCTCAGTAATGCCTGTCCCTCTTCTGTGGTCCTTCAGCCCCTGATATCCATGGGAACCTTCACTGGTAATGACCAATTATCTCTAATGGTTCACAAAAGCCAGTCCATCAGGTACTAATTTCCCCTGTACTACATCAGGTTATGCAGCCCAAGTCTCAAGGATATATGGGTGGTTATATTGCTCAAATTTAATGCTTTTCTAGCACTTAAACTAATATCATTTGCTCCCATGTCCCATATCCTCACAAGCCACATGATGAGGGGTTCCTTCATCTCTTATTTGAAAGACTTCCCTAGTTCCAAGAGCTCCAGTGTGGTATATTCCCCGATGGCTATAGTTCCTCACACCAAATCATTGTTAAGCCTCCATTAGCATGTTGAAAAAAGAATTTTTCCTTTCTTTGCATTAAAGGTCAAACCTTAAGGGCATCTTTAGCTATTTTTAGTTTGTTCTCTTCCTCATCACTATCTGCTTTTTCCCATGGGTCTCATGTTTAGGGGTTCCAGGATGAGCCTTGTATTACTGTTCTAACCTGAGCTCTCTTCCTTTTCTGGCATTTCTTAGCCATAGAAAATAGCAAGCAAAAATCTCCATTTCTTTTTCTTTCTTATGCAACTTACCAGCAGGGTCAGAGGCTGTTGGGTAGGCAAGTCCTCCATCCTCCAAGACAGTCACTCCTAAAGTCAATCATAAAGGGGAGGGTCTAAGTACAGACAGTAAGGGTGCTGGGAAGCGCTATGGACTTTGGGAAGCGCTAAGGACCCTGGAAAAAAGGGGGAGAGTCACCATCTTGGGAAATTGGGCCTGTGGAACTGCTGGAGGGCAGCAGATCTCAAAGTTTAGCTAATGTATAAAAACAGGGCTCATGAGTGATCACGCTTTTGTAAGTAACCCTTTCCCAGACGTCATAAACTAGACAAAAACCCAAATAGAATGTATCATGTCCATTTTGTCAGTCCACCATGGGACTGCATGGCCTTGGGATCCCAAAGAGCATGCG